TTCTGAAAAATGATGAGAAACGGACGATACTGATCACACAATCCATCGAAAGAGCAAAAGCAGGTAGTGATTGCTATGGATTTCCTGTCATCAAAACAACCAGAAGAAAGAAAAGACTTGATGTGGAGTTGAGTTCTGATGTAGGACTGTCAATAGAACTACAATTCAAACGTGTTGCGACAGAAGTCTTGGACAGACTTCATATGGAGATGAAGGACAGATTCCAATGGCTGGAAAACCATGTGAAAACCTTTGGGTTTCTTCTTGAACCAAGACACCTGTTGGAGTCTATGGATGACGACACGCTGATAAAAAACTGTGTCACGTTTTCCTGTTTGTATGATGAAATACAGGCAAATCGCTTGTTCAATGATGTCATTGATGTGCGTTCACTTTTCATCAACAAACCAGTGCCACAATCACCAATTGACATATTGAGGAAGCTGGCTTCATATGGTAATGATGTGTGCTCAAACCTTGAAACCTCCATCCGAATACTGCTAACTCAGGGCACTTCCATTGCGTCATGTGAGAGATCATTCTCAAAACTCAAGTTAATCATAAACTATCTGAGGAGCGCAATGAATCAAGAAAGGCTTGGCAGCATGGCATTAATGTCAGTGGAGTCACAAATACTAGACAGTATCGATGTAGATGATGTTATAGATGCCTTTGATGCACAGAAAGCACGACGTGAAGCGATATGAATTGAGTTGTGTCATGTGCATTATTTCGCTAATAAACAACGGTATTATTCATTAAAAGAGTCCTAATGATTATTTTTTTTGTTAATTTTACTGTTATACTGTACCAATTTGAGCATATATCATGTCATGACGTCGAATGTCAAAATCTAAGGGGCCCCCTAAAAGGTCAATCCCCCAGGACCCCAAATCTCTAGTTATACACCCCTGCGTATCTTGTGTTGTTTTTATTTTTTTTATAAATTATGCAATCGTCTGCTAATAATATGACTTTTGTTCCTGAACTAATGCAATTTGGAAAATCATTTATGTAAATTAAAAATAGTAGTGGACCTGAGACTGTTCCTTGAGGTACGACTGAGTTTACTGTTATCGGTGTTGATTAAGAGCCATTTATTATTGTTTTTTTCTCTTCCTATCAGAAAATCATTATTCCACTGATGCAATGATCCATCAATGCCCAAATATTTTTATTTTTTAAAGCAATTTATGGTGGTGAACTTTATCAAAAGCCTTGGGAAAAGGTATGATTGGATGCCCATCATATGGCATACAATTTTTGGGTCGGATTATACAAAAATGGATGATCGCTTTTTAAATGTAATTTTTTAAAGGGATCAACCTGAATTCAAACTTGTGGGCCTTCTCAGGGTAACGACGTAACTACTCTGCTAGCGAAGAGTCTATGAACATCGAAAATTGTATAGTTATCTATTGTTTCTATTCCATGTTTCTGTTCACGACAAGCTAAAATAAAGGGGACGTGCTCGTATAGGCCTAATCGTAGGCTACGTGGTTGTACATCCACTCCCGGAACCTCCTTCCTGGAAACGTTTTTAGTTGGCAGCTTAGCGAGAACTGAAACTCGATAAAACGAGAAAATCCGAGGATTTGACTGCATTACATAGATCTACTTATTCTACTGTAATACTAGATATATAGATCTAGATCTTTAATAGTAATACACTTAATAGAATCTAGATCTATTTCCTATATAAGATAGAATACTAGATTCAAAGCCCTAGATCTAGTCTATACGAGAAGTTATAATCTAGATTCTACTTATTTTTAAAGTTAAAGGTAATTCACAATTAAATTGAATGTTGATATTGATAGGGTTAGTATATTTATAATTATAATTTTATACTATGCGAAATTCCCGGACGTAATCATCTTCTTTTTAATTTGTTTGAAGTAACATAGTAACAGTAACAGTCTGTATCATAATCTATACTAGACCTATAAGATAAGATAGATCTGATCATCGACTGTTGGTATTACTAGATCTAGTTAAGTTAGTATTACAGTAAATTAGTTTACCGTAGTCATGTAGTTTACATGACGATCTCTTTTAACTTTTAGTCTTTAGTTTAAATTCTGATGATTGGATTGTTACTTACTGTAGTCTGTAGAGTAGACTGTTCTGACTGTAGTCTTGTCTGTTACAGTTTTACACTACCTACAGTGTAGTCAAAGTGTAGTGTACTAGTACTGTATTAACTGTAGACAGAAAATAGAGTGTGTGTACTGTGTAGTCATAGTCTTGATTAACTAACTTCAAACTAACTTGATAGTGTCAAAGTGATCTAATCTAGATAATAAGCCTAAGATAAGATAGATCTAGATTAAATTGTCATAGATCTAGATAAATATACTAGATCATATCTAAATTATAATCTAGAAATCTAGCTAGATCTATCTATAATTACTAGAGTAGAAACTACTGTAGTCACTACTGTTGAGTCATGATCTAGACTAGTTATAATTATAACATTCTGTAGTTGTGACAGTTTTTTTTTTTAGAGATAGTGGGGCATAGTTGGACAACATTAAGCAGGTGGACTTCTGGAGTATGACCTCCACTTTTTTAGGTTGATAGACCAAATGATGCAGTAGCCTCGGCCAATTCATTGTCAGCAAATTGAAGCTCCTGCTTGTTATTTAAAATCTACACAAATGTATCTGTCCACACTAAGTCTAAGTTGACTTAAAAGTTCCACTCTACAGTTGCTGTTGTTACACTGTTGTATGCTTGCTTTACACCTTCATCTTTAACTTTTTGCTACATTTTTATTCATTTTCATTGATTTCCAGGAAAGACACAGAAATGCCATTAGAACTTTGTGAAATTGATCCAAGACGTCAAGTATTAGGACCAGGAGACAAAGGTTTTTTGATTAGCTTAACAAAATCAAAATGGAGCAAACCAGCTGGAGCTGAAATCATTAAAGTTTTTAAAATGTTTGCTCCAAAATACTATGAATACAAGGTACTTTATTACTTTCAAGTTGTTGTTTTTTTTACTTTAGAAAATTGTGCTTTATTCATAATTTTGTTATAAATATTAGAGATTGAATCAAAGAAATGTAGGTAAATTGTTGTACAAAGAACTAAATGGATCAAGGAAATAATTAAAAGATTGGTGTGAAAGGAAACATTTCTAAGTATACAAATTATATTGTACAAATTACTTTATTTTCATCTAAATAACACTTTAATGCTAAATTATTTGATTTGAATATTAACCATCCATGAGTCTGAAACACTTTCATGTGGAACTATTTCTCTGCATAAACTTATTATTTAAGCATCAAGTTTAGTTTCACACATTTTGTATCATTTATCATTGATAATAATTATGTGCCTATTGCAGTGTCCAGAGGAAGCAAAGAATAAAAAGAGCAGTAATGATAAGGATAACTGCTGTGGAATACAGTTTATACAAAGAGAATTAGTTTACAATAACTGTGGATTTGTGGCATCTAATCTGGAGGATCCTGCAGAATTTGCCCATTTTGTGTTCGCTAAAATATCTGAACAAAGATTTGATGCTTACAAGACCTCTAAAGCCATTCGAGTCATGCCAGTAGAAGCAGTTTGTGAAGCTAAAGCTAGGGCTGTGGAAGCAGCAATACTTCCTTCCGTTTTAAAAAAGCTTGGACAAACTCAGGACGCTTTAAGATTTTCCCTTATTTTTCGGGGGCATAGTACTGTAAACAGTCTACCACAACCAGAAGCTAAAGCAGTAATCCGAAATTGCATCTGGTCTGTGAATCCAAACTGCGTTCAATGCATCAAATATCAAGACTATGCTGTTCTTATGCATATGTTGCCCCCAGTCTTCCTTGTTGGGGTCTGTAAAGATTTTCAAAGATTAGGTGGTTACAACACTTGGACAGCCCGCCAAGGACCAGACCTGACTGATTTGGGAGAGGATAGTGAAGATGAAATCAGTGATGACCCAGAGCTAGAGGAAGATGATGAGAAAAAAAGAAAGCTTAGAATCAAAAGAAAGCGACGTGCAGATAAGGCCGGACTAAAGACTCTTGAAAGTTCTTTGAAAAAGTCAACAGAAAAGACTGAGCAGGAAGAGGAGCACAATGATGATGATCATGATGAAGATGACCAAGATCATTATGAGGAACATATTGATGGTAATTTGAAAGAAGAAAATTGGGACGAGCCACAAGACAATGATCATTCCCAACACTAAATGATATCTTAGAATATTTTGAAAACATTTGTGTAAGATATGCCTACCTTTCTTTGACAAACTTTTGTTTAATGTTTCCATCATAGTATGTTTAAAATGTTAGCATGATATTCACAGCTAACATTGAAATACAAATGAATTTGTGAACTTGATGGTGTGACAAGGTTGAACTGAAAATGAGTTGTTTATTTTTATTGAATGAATTCACACATTACTGCAAGAGAGCACAATAGTTAACTCAGACTTGAACTTAGGCCACCCACTTACATCACTTTAGTAACAAGTTCATTTACATTGGTTAGTCATGGGTTCATGTCCTACAAATGGTTCTAAGTGTGTTAGTTGTTTTCTGAAAATCTGAATGCCGTGAGGTTTCTCATCTATTTTTGTTTTTGGTACCGGTACCTGTAGATAGTTTAGTGTCTTTGTAGCATAAATGAATAATAGTGGCAAAGAATTAAATTATAAATAAAGTACACCAGTACTTTTACTTATTCTATTTTTAAAAAATGGTTAATATCCCAACATACTCTATTTAATGCTCTTTAAATAATTTCATTAAAGTGATTGTAAAGGGATTTATCACCACAAACTCTTTAACTGGTAGTATTGTATTAGCCTAGCAAGTGTTTTTGTATTGTCTGAATTAATTAATGGTATACATGCCTTTTGTTATTCCTATCATTCATTTCATTTTGAAATCTTTAGTTCATTACATTGAAACTGTTTCGTCATTTTAGTTTTGTAAGGTAATAAACAAATAAAATGAAAATTTAAAATATAAATAAATACAAAAGAGTAGGTTTTTTTTCACATTTGTATATTAGTTGTGTTCATTTTGTTTACAGACCAATGACTTAAAAAAAAAAAGGACAGAAAAAATGAAATGATAACAATACATACATAGAACAAAAGCTGGATTTTTGGGAGTGACCAAGAAGCTTTCAATGTTTACACAAGAAAATACATGAACTATAATGACTACATTTAAGCACAACAAATGATATCAGAAAAGTCTTTTGTCAGGTTAATAAAGATATTGCACAGCCGTGATGCATGTATTTGACACCACTTATATAATACATAATGGATTTTGTCCCTCATTGCAGATCCTTTCAAGAACAAAGTTGGACTAAAATGGAATTTTTTTTCTCTAGGCATGTCTCTGAACAAATATAGAGAGAAGGAACATGCTGGATAAATAATAGCAATCTCTCCACAAGTCTGGCATCAGGATAAAATGTACAAAATGTACAGCACAATAGTTAAGGCACACAGGCCAGCAAATAATTTCATAGGTGACATACAGCGGTACTTCATACAATACAAAACAAAAAATATAAACATAACTAAGTAATAAATATTTTTGCTTTGACATGTGCACTCTGTAGGAATATAGATCTAGAATTTCACTAATCATTGGACTATTCACAGTTGACAATTTTATAAAATTTTCCACAGTAGACTTTAAATTATAATTTTTATGTTACCTAATTTCTAATGCAAAGTTGTCAAAATTTAAAGTTATGATATAAAATGAACAACTACAATGTGAAAAAAACATGAGCACCACTTTAGAAAATGTATTTCAAGCATTTGAGACAGAGTCAAACTACAACACATATTCTTTAAGTACGAGTAAGAGTGACAATGGGGTTGATATTTTTCACAATGTTGTTGTTAAGACTATCTTACTCCAGCCAGACCATATTGCAGGAAACAAAACAAATGTAGCACTGCCAAATACTGTTTCAAAACTTGTTAAGTGGGGAGTGCAAAAGTTCACATAAAACATCATACAAAACAAAGTTTTACTTTACAAAAAAACAATTTTTAAAAAATCAAATTCTAATTGGTACACTAAGGAAAGTAGATTGACAAACTATCACCAGAGCTATTATTACCAAATGATAACAAAACTATCATCAAAATTCTGTCTACTGATTGAAACTTGCTGAGATTTGAATGTCTCCAAATAGACAAATTTGGCCAAAATCACAACCAACAAAGAAATATAAATTAATGAATAACATAAAAAAAAATATCTGAATCATTTTTTTTTTCTTTTTGACTATCATACACACAATATTATAAACAAACTGAAAGTGTTTATAAACAAATACTTAGTCATAGGTTTGTGTTTGCACAAGATAACTTGTCTCCTTTCATACAGCTAATTCTATCATACAGCGTTTTATAATTATTTTCTATTATACAGCTTCTACTTTTCATGATTTCTACTGTACCAATAAATATACCGGTAATTCACACAACACAGTATTTAGAAACTTTTTTATCTCACATAATGGAAATGTTCTGAAATTAAGTTAATCATAGTTTGTTTTTTTCTAAATACATTTTCCTTTGATAGCTCCAGTTTAAATTTTTTAAAAATTAGAAATAAAGAAAGTAACAAAGCAATACATGTATAAAGAAATGAAGGGACCTTGACAAAAGAGTTAATCATAGTTTTTATTTTCAAAATACATTTTCCTTCGATAGCTTCAGTTTAAGTAAAAAAATTTTTAGAAATAAAGAAAGTAATTGAAAGCAATATAAAGAAATGAAGGGACCTTGACAAAAGGAGAGAATGAAGCAAAATCAAAGAGAATGTGCTATGGATGCCAACTAGACATCTTTTGTGTTTGTTGTGAAGTTTTGAAAATCTAAATTATCATTAACATTTTGACTCAAGAAAGTTTCCCCACTGGAAAAGTTAATTTAGCTGTGATACAGCACAAGCTGATGTCGAGTAGATTTAAAAAATCAGCTTTGGATGTGTTTTTTTTTTTTTTTTTTCAAAGTTAAGTAGAATTATTTTATTTATCGTTTTATTGATTATACTTAGTGCAGATAACCTACGCTCATGTCATAGCACTAAAAAGTGCATAGAAAATTAAGATTTAAGTTTAATACAATTATACACATAATTTGCCATCACATTCTTTAAATCAAAAAGTACAGCCTCTAATATGTCTCTAATTTAGAACAGCTCAGTTTAACACTTAAAAACATCCATATCCCACACAATAAAACATTTCAAACAAGTAGTATATCCCATACAATATATAACTTATAAAACATGTATACATTCCATACATGTAACATTTCAAACATGTATATCCCATACTATATATAACACAAACATCCAATTTAGTATTGCATGCATGGAGAAAAATAATTTCAAAGGCCCTGTGATGTGGAGATGTCTGAAACTAGTTTAAATGCTAGATATTAAATCATCTGAAAGTCTGTGTGTTATAATTGAGATTCGTGGTATCAGCAAGGACAAGTGTGTAATTTTTAGGAACACTAGTAATGTTTGACCAGTGCGGGAAAAAAAAGAAAATTAATCTCAATCAAAAAAATCTTGACAAATTTTGTTGTCATTGATTGGTGCATTTATCCCAACCATGTACTGTAGGTTTTTCATTTTAAAATTTTCATCAGCTGGAACTGATCCTTAATTTTAATGAGATAGATTGCAATGATTAGTTGAGCTTTGGGTTAAATCAACATAATGTAATACAGGTTCAGCAAGTGCTTCGGAGGGGGGGGGGGGGGGGGGTCACTAACAATGAGAAGTACAGCTTAAAAAACCTAAGATATTGAATCAATGAACCTGGCAGATCACACCACTCAATGATAGGTGTAATAAAAACCTATTTACTTTCATAAATTTTGGCTTAAATAAAAAATGACAATACATCTTTCTTCCCAAAATATTTCAATATATAATATCAAGACAAGAACTTTGCTAGAGGTAATTCATCTTTAAGTATTAAGTCAGAAGCTTATTAGACTAACATAGATGTACAAATAGAGTTTAATTGTAACTATGCCTTTAAACTTGTTATACATTACACACAAAAATAAAATCTACAAGAACCTTTTATGCAATAATATGTATACCATCACAGAGTAAAATATATTTCAATTTAAAAGCTTTAACACTTAACAAACAAACAAAATAAGAAAAAATAAAGAAAAAACCTAGTTATAAATTAACCATTTAATGTTTCTGATATGTCAAATACCAAATTTTTGTTTTAAAAAAAAAGCTGGTTTTGCAAAGAAAACATCTGAAGTAAAATATATATAAAAACTATATATTGTTGCTTATGTTATTCACAAAGAAACTTTAAAACATAAGTTGCTAGAAGTTAGTGAAACAAAATCACACTGACGAGTTGGAAGTGAAATGTTTATCTTCTTTAAGATACTGACTGTTGCTGGGGTCACAATGTATATAGTTTGTTCAACCAAATGTCTCAATTGAAACATTTGACATAATACATCACCAAAGAACTATCAAGTTAAATTTATTACATCTAAGAGGATTTGGGTTACAACACAATAACAAATACACAACAATTACATAAAAACTTGTCAACTTTTTTTTTTAAAAAGATATGTCAGTTTGACTAAAAGAAAGAATGTTTCACCTCAAATATTTATAAGCAAGCAGAAAAACCTCCAGACATCAATCACTCGTCCTGTGATGTACAATATAAGTGACAAAACAAACAAACTTGACTTCAATCTGTTATTAAGTAAAACAGAACCTTGCTGGTTTTTAAATGCAATAAAAGTAATTAACAAGAATAAATATTTAAATTACCAGAAAGAAAGAAAAAAAAAATACATATCTCTAAATTAATTATAATGATCAAGGTTTCAATTTGTGAATTTGTTGATATCAGTGTCAAGTAATTTAAATGTTCTTTTCATTTTTTTTTTTTTTTTAATTTTCTATAATCTGTCAGAAATATTATTTAGAAAATAGGATGTTAGCAAAAACTGTTAATGTTGTCTGAAAATACAATATGTAGTCTAAAAGTTTCAATCTGCAGTCACATTCTGGTTGTGCCTATCATTTTCAAATTCTACAAAGTCATCCAATAGGCTGGGCCAGGCTTCTGTATCATCATAGCTGCTTAAGTCCTCCCCGACCTGTTCTGTGAAATTAAGAAACATGTCCCATGTGTCTTTTGGAATACCCCTGATACTGGTGTGCTTCTCCAAGAACTCTAACCACCGGTGGAGAACAGGAGGCTCATTTTGAGAAAACACAAGCTTCCACAGACTAATTGCCATATCTGTAGGCAACGTTCTCTGACCTGAGGCACTATCTAATCCGAATTTGTAGGTCCAACGATAAAGATCCTTAAATGCTTGCTTATCACGCACTTCTACAATAAGTTCTGGAAATTTGCTTTGAATGCCCCTAAGTGAATCAACTTTCAAGGCTTTACAACCCTGAACAAACTCTGAACGTTTAAACTCACACATAGTTTCAGCCCCAAATTTCCAAGCAAGCACAAGAACAATAAACTCTTCTGGTTTGACTTCAAGGTCCATACACAGCCTTTCAATACCATCCGCTAGAATGCAATCTTCATTTTTATCTTTATAGTTGTCAAAAAGTGACAAGATTTTATTCTCAAAGACCTGATTAGACATTAGTGACAATCGCTTGGTCTCAACACCAACACCCTGCTTTTTTATAGGAGGTAGTTTGGGATAGGGTGTAAACATTTTCCACTCTGAGTTGGGTGTAGTGACTGGAGGATTGGGCTCAGCGCAGTTCTCTTTGCTGTCACTCACCGGTATGCCAGCTAGGTACTGAGTGCGTGAGTGATTGGGATGGCCAGTGTCACCTATACTGCTCACTGGACTGTTCAGCCCCTGCTTCTCACAACACGGAGATAAGCACTGACCCATTGACATCAAGCTGGTCCCCCTTACTAGCACATCCTAGCAACCTAGAAGAAAAAATGGGAGTCAATTTTTTTTGTGTATAATTTTTAAACAAAGTACATCATTTTTTAAATATTAAAAAGACTTGTATATAATAGTATTATGATTGGGCAGTAATAAAAGGAAAGGGAGATAAGTTTTTTTTAGCAACATTTATACATGTTTCATTAGTTATCAAAAGCATTCTATTTAAAAAAAAATTATCTACTAAATAAAATTCTTGGTACTGATCACTCATAATCACTAATTCTCCCACTGGCCGTGGGCAATAAAATATGAAAATTTAACCTATTCTTACTTAACTAAAACTTAGAACAATTTTCAAGATAAAAACCGCAGCTGTTAAATTTACAACAAATTTTTTTTTTTCCAATTACCAAAAACAACGTATTTGACAGCTCAAATATTAATGTCATAAAAGTAAAGCAAAGAAAAGTTCCCTTTTAGACCTTGCGATCTATAGAGCAGATGATGTAAAGGTCATTTGTTTCTGTGGCTCATGGTTAACAAAGGTGTCATGTGGCCATTACTTTTCCCCAACTAACATAAGGTACCAGTAAGAGCTGGGTGGACTCAGAGACACCCATAAAATCCCGAAATTAAAAATCTCAGTCTTCACCAGGATTCAAACTTGGGACCCCTTGCTTCGGAGTTTGAGTTTAGGCACATCTGCACAATTTAGGCCTTGGTTCGGAAGTCAAGCACTTTAACTGTCAGCCACACACTGACAAGTAGACTGTCTTAAGTACAAAACAATATTTCCTTTCACTTAAGCACCTATGAACTTTTTCTTGGTGTGTAACTTACTTTCTTTCAATTTAAAGATTGTAGTTAATAATAATGTGTAGATCAATTTTGAAATGACTAGATCTAGAGCTTCAAGCATGACTCTATTCTAAGGTAAAAATTCAAAATCCTTAAAAAAAAAAAGTGTCAAAGTCAACATAAGAGCCTATTAAAAGGGTGAGTGAATTTTTTTTTTGAGGGGTTTTTGAAAATGGGTTATTGTAAATAAAATGCCTATCTAGATCTATGACTGACAAAATAAACAAAAAAATGTAAAGAGTATTCAGCCCAAAAAAATATAATATTTTAACCATAGTGTAGCACAGGTATAATTTTGTTATTTGCCTATGGTGTTAAACCAAGTGTAACGTGAAAAGGTAAAAAGAAGGTATATCGCTGCATGTGGGTACATATGAAGGCAAATGATGGGATCCATTTAAGTTGCCCAGCTGTAGTGTGGCAAGTTTATTATAGCCTAATATAGCATGTTCATATTTATTTACATTCTGACTTAATGTAAGAGATACAACAAGTTACAATACAAAAAGATTTTTTTTTAAAAGGGGAGGGGGAGAGAAATGGACACAGTAGTGTATACGTATGAAAAAAATGTAATGGAGTGGGTTGGGGGACAACGGAGAAATAAATGCATGTGGTGAAATTGTGAATACATTTTTTTGTGTGTAAAGTCTTGAGGATATTTTCATATAATTTATTCATCGACCATGTTCAATTATATCATGGACAAGGTGTGAGATCAGTCTCAAATTGATCAGTAAGACTTGTGAAACCACACTACATATTTTTTTACTATTTTGCCACAATTCACTAATGTGCTACACAATTTTAA